AACCTTACAAAATTCAACAAAGGCAAGTGCAGGGTCCCGCACTTGGAGAGGAATAACCTCAGACACCAGTATAGGCTGGGGACTGACCTTCTTTAGAGCAACTCTGCAGAGAGGGACCTGRGTGTCATGGTGGACAACAAGTTGACCATGAGRCAGCAGTGTGCCCTCGTGGCCAAGAAGGCCGGTGGGATCCTGGGGTGCATTAAGAAGAGCGTCTMCAGCAGGTCRAGGGARGTGATCRTCCCCCTATACACAGCCCTGGGGAGGCCACACTTGGAGACTGTCCAGTTGTGGGCTCCCCAGTACAAGAGGGATGTGGAGCTGCTGGAGAGAGTCCAGCGCAGGGCTACGAGGATGATCAGGGGCCTGGAACATCTGCCCTATGARCAAAGGCTGAGAGAGCTGGGCCTGTTCAGCCTGGAAAAGGGGAAGGCTTAGAGGATATCTGATCAGTGTCTATAAATACCTCAAGAGAGGGAGTGAGAATGGGGCCGGCTTCTTTACAGTAGTGGTAACCGATAGAACTAACGGAAACGGCCACAAACTGACACATTAGAAGTTCCACTGAAACTTAAGGAAAAAAWTTCTTTTCTGTGAGGGTGACAGAGTCCTGGCACAGGCTGCCCAGAGAGGTTGTGGAATCTCCTTCATTGGAGATCTTTAAAACCTGCTTGGATGCAGCCCTGTGCCACGTGCTCTAGGTGACCCTGCGTGTGCAGGGGGGTTGGACTAGATGACCTCTAGAGGTCCCTTCCAACCTTAAGCATTCTGTGACTCCATTGGCCTTCTTGGCCACAAGTGCACACTGCTGACTCATGGYTAACTTTTTATCCACCACGACACCCCAATCCCTCTCCACGGAGCTGCTTTCCAGCAGGTCAAACCCTAATTTGTATTGATGCGTGCCCTCTGGAGCATCGGCCATTCTACTCAGTTTGGTATCATCCACAAACTTGCTCTGGGCCCATTACTSACTCCTGGGGGACACAACTGGCCACAGGCCTCCAACTAGACTCAGCCCAGTTTATTACCACCCTCTGAGTTCTCCAACCACCCAGCCAGTTCTCAATCCACTTCACCATTCACTCATCTAACCCACACTTCCAGAGCTTTCCTGTGAGGATRTTATGGGAGAGGGTGTGGAAAGTCTCTTTGAAGTCAAGGTAAGCAACTTCCGCGTCTCTCCCCTTGAAGGTTGCTTTTAGTTTTTTAGAAGTTTTTAGAAGTTAAATCTTCCCTGTTAGAAAGGAAGATTTATTAGAAAAAGTAGCATGAGTAGAGTATTAGGCTCTGCAGAATGCAGATGAAAAACCTTTTTTCAAAGAAACAAAAATCTTCTTAACTCATTTCAGTATTTTTCAGGGAGGAAATACTTTTAGGAGTTCTGATATTGGAAGTACTATCCCTGTAGCATTGCAGCACTTTTCAGAAAAGCGATATCCGAGACAACAGCTAGCACCATTCCCTGCAAAACTGATATACAAAGGCCAAATAGCAATGTGTACTTGTCTAGAAATAATGTGCTGAATTTGTTTCTACTAGAGAAAATAATTTGGTGCAATTATTTCTATGTATCACTCTGGCACCGGGAATAATTAGGCATCAGCTGAAGACAGGGACTGCCAAAAGCGCATTTGGAGGAGGTGAGTATTGCTGAGTGGTGCAGTCATGCATTAGCAAGTGTGACTGCATCACCAAAACAAAAGTATATGCYGGCCTCCATGTCCTTTTTAGGGATGTGCTGTCCTCGACAGGAAAGGACACCAGTGAASTACTTAGCAAGAAGAAAGGGGGGAAAAGAAAAAGAGCAAAGAAAACTGAGGTGTATTTGCTTGCTGTTAGCAAAAAAAATCATCCATCTGAGTTAGATATAGTGTTCATAGCTGCTTCAGGAGTCATTTTCTGTAAAAGCTGAAGAGGGAGCAAGTCAGCTGTTCCAAACCCAATTTGCTAGATGTTAAATCTAAATTAATGGATGGGTGGGCTGAAAACTGCAATTGGAAGGGCAGCTGTAGTAGTAATAGGGATCTAGCCTTGAGCAAAGCAGAGATTATAAACCCTCCTTCACAAATGTGCATGCACAAACACACACATGCACACAATCTYGTGGTAAGTACAGTCAGCAAATGAATATAAATTTTTCTCTTTGCTGAGAATAAGCTCCAACAGGCAAAGAATTACCTGTGAACAATCTTCTCTCTCATGCATAAAACTCTATCTCATAGCCCTTGAATTCTGTGACAAGATTTTAGCAGTGAGTTGCCTTAGTGGGTGCCTGTGTGTTTTGTGGGGAAGGAAAAGCACATCTGACAGAAATCTTAACCTTTAGGCAATTAAAAGGGGAAATTTCTCCAACCTATCATGTGATATAAATGCTAGACACAAAAAGATACTGTGTAGGGGTGTGTGGTAAAGTCTTTGGCACAGTGGGTCCTTTTACAGAATGAGTGATGAGATGCAATCAGACACCGATAAATCATGGTCCACAACCTGCAAGTGCTTTTAATAGGATAACTATCTGCTTGTTAACTTAGATTTTGTAATTGCGTCTTCCACCACCGGGGTGTTGAAGGATGAGCAGATACAGCTCAGTGAAAAGGATACAAAAGAAACAACCCTGCATCTTGAGAAATATTCAGCAGCTTAATTAGATTCAGAGTATAATACTGTTAACAGTGCATAAATGACAGCTATTTTCTGTTTATCTACATATTGTTTCATTCTTTGAGCCTACTCCATTATTATTTAAATATGAGTATCTTGAGCATATTTTCTCCTCAAACCAACCATTATTTTTTACTACAATTAGCTTTCATGAGATGTTGTCAAACCTGTTATATGTAAGAAGAAAAGCTGTATGCTCTACACTTGAGCAATCATAAAGGAAAAAGTGTGAGAGAGGAAGTCCTGCCCCTAGATACCAAATTTTCACATGGACATCCAATCTTATATGTTGGCATGTGGGAAATGGAGCTCTTCCATCCACTATGTTTCAGTGAAGCTTTCTTTGTCCCATTAGAAAACTGTCCCATTAGCTCTTTCCAGAGGAAGRGGAGCTCTCCTGATATTTTTTAAAAAATGATTTTCTTTCTGTGTATTATTCCCATTGCTGAAGTCATGGGGGCTGCAGAGGCTGTACCTTGTAATGGTAGCAACTTTTTATGTTACTCTGAATATGAGCTGAATTCCACTTTGCTGCTTCCTACTGTGCTGTGTTACTGTTGAGCTAGAGATACATTGTATGACAAGTAAGTTTTCTGGCATATCCAAGGATGGGTTAAAATCAACAGTAAAGTAAATGCACATTTTTTAGTACTTCTGAGTAATATCTCATTTGCATCTTGATGCGAAAGCAGAATACTATAAGTTTCAAGTGGCAGAAACAAATTTGTTAAATATATCAAGTCTGAAATTCCATTATCTTGAAAGAAATGCCTCTGATTGCTGTTTTGTCAGATGGTAACTAGTGGGCAAAATACAAAATTATTAAACTCTAGAGCTTGGAGTACAGGGGAGGAAGAGATGGAGAGAGAATCAGTGGTGATGGCTTCTTTCTGGATTTTCCTGTCTAATTCAAAATTCTGAAAGTCTTCTGAAAGAAAATAAGCAAAAACTATCAATAGTTTTCCCAAGCTAAGGGTGTATGTAGTTGTCTGGTATCTCATCTTCCTTGCGCTGTCCCTAAGCTCCTAGCCCATATACTGAGTAAGAGCCTCTTTGCAGGAGACCACTGCTGCTGCCAGYGAAGTTTTAGCTTTAGCTAATAGACACCCTGAGCCTGTTAAATAGCATAGAGTGGCCGGCAATGAATACATACACACAGTCTAAATACATTTATCCTGCAAAGTGCAAAATCTTGGTGAAAGTATTCTTTTTTTTTAAGCATTGTGTCTCTGGATTTTTTTGTGGCTCTTAGTTACTCATCTGCACTAGGGGAGAGGGTAAATACCCCCTGGGTATTTAATAYCAGCTTTTAATACACTCAGATGTTAGCAAATATGCACAGCTAGTCTGGAGTCAAGGACTGTCCTCCCCATGTCTTAGTGCTGTGGTTGGGCATCTAGAGTACGCAAATCAAGACTGGCGAAGGTGCCATCTCTGAGGCTTACAGGCACCCTCCACAAGGCCTCATTCATTGTGGTTGTTTTGAGTCAAGTCGGTAGTGGGAACCAGGTCCTTTCAAGTGTGCTGGTAACATGGATAGGGATTAGAAGCCCTGTGAGATGGACTGGAGGTGCCAGCTAGTGCTCATCCACCCCACAGGTTCCTCGTCAGGCATATCCTGCAGACTGAATCACCTCCCTGCCCTTAYTGGAGAAGTTGCTGCAGGGCCTTTTCAGGGGACCCAAAATGGTGGTTGGCCTCTGCTTTCTTGTGTGGCTGAAAAGAGGGTACATAGCCCTGGTAATTGAAGCAGTATAGAGAAAACTTACGTGCACCAGCTGCTCTGACAACCTCTGACTGCTGAAGCAGTGCCTTGGAGCTCTAGACATGCAACCAAACCATCGGGGGTGCTCTAGCTGTGTGGCTGCTTCACTTGGGTCTACATCCATGCCCACCCTGTGTGTGCAATGGCACAGGGTGCAGGACACTGACTCTCTACAAAACCCTGAATCCCCCTGAATGCCCATCTTGCTGCTGGAGGCTGCAAGGACATCCTGCAGAGCTGCCTTCCTCTGCAGGAGCAGGTCCCTGTGGAGGAGGCAGAGCTGGGGCTGCGCTTGGCTCACCAACGGAGAGTGATACAAGATACCTTCAAAGCTCCTTCCTTTGGTTAGGGATGGCTTGGCTCTGTGATGCAGGCCTGTGCTGAACTAATAAAATGGAGTCAAAGATGTATTTTATATCTGATTTATATTGAGTATCAAAGTATGTGAGATTTTACTTAGAATGTCATTGGTGACTAAGGATTGCTTGTTTTATTTTCTATTTTGTTTCTTTGTTTTGTCTAAAATTCAGGACTGTGCTTCTTACTTTTAAGGCTCTGATTCTGTGGAGACTCRTATTTCTATGTAACTTTGAAAGTGTATGTATTTCTTTCAAGTTTAAGGAAATAAATGTACGGTTAAATTTTGGCAGCTGTGCAGTCTCAGCTAGATGAGGGCCACAACAAGTATACACTACCTTCTCTTYCAGAGCCAAACTGATCCCAGATGATATGTTTCTTTAAGCCTTAGGCGATTTATCCTGCCAATACTACTGATACAAAAGTTACAAGTCATAATGTAGTTGCAGAGTCTTAACACTTTCTCTTAAATACAACAAATATCATCTCAGTCTTATAAATTTGCACAGGTTTAAAAAAAAAACAAAAAACAGTGAGTGTATTCTCCTTATATGAATAAAAGCTCTTAAAGATATTGCCTACATCGTACAAGCTTCTGAAAGGCTTTTTTGAAATCTTCATTAAAGATTGTGTAGATTAGAGGGTTAATAAGGGAATTAATATATCCCAGCCATGCTAGGAAATTAGACATGTCTTCTGAGATGTGACATCTTTCACAGGTATTAACAACTACTTCTTTTACAAAAAAGGGGAGCCAGCAGATCACAAATGCCCCCAAGATCAAACCCAGAGTAGTTGCAGCCTTTCGCTCTCTTGTGCTCGAGATTCTCTGTTTTTTCCAGGACTTATCTTGCTTAGATTCAGACCTGGGGCTTCGTAGGGTGATTTTATCACAGTCCACCAGAGGATCTGATGTCTTCTCTATAATACTGGGCATTGAAGTAAGTTTGGTGCTTCTTTCATTTGCCTCCAGAAGGACTTGTCCATTTACCTCTTCCCTTACGATCCGACTGACGCTCCTTCTGTGAAACGTCTTTGCTGCCTTGTATATCTTGTAATAAAGGATCAAAATCAAGGCCAGTGGGATGTAGAAGGCGCCAAATGTAGAGTAAATGGTAAAAACAATGTGATCATGTTTAATGATGCATTCGTCATCCCTGCTGGCTGTCTGGTGCCGCCAAAACAAAGGCGGCATGGAAATAAAAATGGATATGATCCATACTACTGCGATCATGATGCCAGCATGCTTTGGTGTCCTTTTCCTGGCGTATTCCACAGCATCTGTGATTGCTCTGTACCGATCCAAAGCAATGGCAGAGAGATGCAAGATGGAACACGTGCAGCAGGTGATGTCCACGCTCAGCCAAATGTCGCACACCACTTGCCCCATGATCCAGGTCTCCTTTACAATGTAGACAATACTGAAGGGCATCACTAGGACTGCCACAAGGAAATCAGTCACTGCAAGAGAGCAGATTAAATAGTTGGCAGGATGGTGGAGCTTTCTTGTCACAATTATTGCAGTCATCACAAGGGAATTGATGGCTGTTGTCATTAGGGCAAGCACAGACAGGGTAATAGAAATGAGAATCTTGGATGTCATCCATTTGAACAGTTCTTCTGATGTACTGTTTTGTTCAGTTGCRTTGATTAAATCCATCTTCCCTTTTAAAGGTGATCTTTATCTTAGAAGTTACCTGTTGGAAAGACAAAAACACTTTAGAAAATACATTCATAGTYTCCATGGAATCTTTAGTGTTGTCATCCTAGAAGACTATGGATTCAAACTTACAGGAACTTCACATTTATCATCAGCAACAACTTAGGCTCCAGGAAGAGCTTTTCCTGGCCAATTCTGTGTGCCAATTCTGCCTCCAAAACAGGAGGCTATCTTTCTCCTTGCTCTTGCTGATGGGAGAAGCATGTTTGTGTGGTAGAGGAGAGTGCAGTGGTGCCTGGGCTGATGTAGCTGTGCATGGTGCTGAGCGGTGCTGGCAAGGAGGAGGCTCTCATGCTCCCCAAGGACAGCCCCAGAATTTGCTCTGTGGCACTGAGTCAGCCCTCCTTCTGAAAGCTTACTCTGAATAGATTTTTGTTGCTTCTTGAAGCTGTTTAATACAGCTCATTCTCATGTAATTACTAATATTGCTTTTAGGCTGGTCCCTATCAGCTCTGCTGAGCWATGTAAATGCTTCTGAAAGTTTTAATCTGCAGGGAGCGGGTGTAGTGCTTCTTTTTGCCTGTCATTAAGTCAGTGCATCCATGTCTGTATATAACTAAGTATGAGACATGGTGTTGAGGGAAAAAAAATGAAAGGAGAATATTGTGGTATCAACAGGAGATGAAATAACTTTAATTCTAGAGCCTCCTCTTGGATGGCTCGAAGGTGACACAGTTGAATATTTTGAAGCTTCTAATGGTTGACTTATTGTCTGACTGAAATATCACATACAGGGGAGATGCCTGAGAGCATCACTTCTGCTGAAATTCTGCTCTTCTGTGGTTGCTGTTGTAGAAAACTGCATAGGACTTAAATGCTAGTTGTACTGCTGCCAGTCTCCATGAAAAATGTGCAACTCCTTTTTGGCCATACTGAAAGCAAAAGCATACTTACATGGTATGATGAAATGAGTTGTCAGTTATGTTCTGGAGATGTACAGTTCCACCCTACACCCTTCTCAAAGAGGGTTTCTAAGCTCTCTATAGAATGTAATTGTAAACACAAGTTTCCTGCTTCTTAGACCAGAGCTTGTAATTCTCACATTCACAAGATTTTTGACTTGATTTGATTTTTGATTTGATTTGCTTTCTTGTGTGTGTTTCTTTTTTGTTTTTTTTGACTTGATTTGATTTCTTGCGTGTGTAAGATCTACAAGATGCATCCCTCGGAGAGGGGTTTCTTTGACCAGTTCTGGAGTGAACTGCACTTGTGTTGCACTGGAGGCCACATGTAGAGAAATAAATAATTACAGGAAAAAATAAAAAAAGAGTCTCAATATCATTAAACCTTTTTTTTTTTTTGTATTATGCTGGAGTGGTTTAAAAGAATGCTTATGTGTTGTACATCACCTCAGTCCCAGTTCACTAACTCAATGTAATTGTTATATTTTTTCCCCCCCAGCCGGCGGGGGGAAAATAGCATAACAATGGTTAATATGCTATYGAGCTGTTAAAAACATGGTTTTAGCATTGCTTGGTTAGCATTTAATTCCGTGAAGGACAGGGAAATGAAATAATTTTTACTTATTTATGTAAGCAGATTTTACATTTCTAAGTGGAATTTTGTCTTCTATAGGAGCAGATTACAGTATGCATATTTTGTCTCCCTTTGTCTGTCCCTTTCTCTAAACTTGCAATACACTTCACACTAGCATAAAAATAGTTCTTTCAGCATGGCAGTGTCACCTTAAGACCTTCTGATTCCACACTAATTGCTAGGTTGCACATGTTTTTGTCTATAGCTTGTTGCTTTCCAGAGAAGGAACAAGCACCTATAGTATTATCTGGTGAATGTTCAACCCCTGCTAAACAAATCTTCTTTTCTTGAGCTTTTATAAATACATAGAGGAAACCGTTTGTGGGAGAAACTTAGGGTTTTTTTTGTGATATTCAACAGCTGGCCATATTTGAGACTCATTGTGGTTGATTATCTTATAAATTTCTACTCTTTGGATATTAGTGCTTAATTGCAAGTAAGTGAAAAGCAATTTAGAGATAATGAAATCTGATAAATAGCTTTTGAAAGATTATTCCGTTTGAGCTCTTGAATTAAGGAAGATGACATGGGTAACTTCACAGAGTGACTGTGTAGGAATAAGTGGATTTTCTTGATGCTACAATGACTTGTCGGCCTTTTGCATAAGTGGAGAGACAACCTTATGCTTCTCTATGGTCTAAAGAGTATGAGCTTATATAGCCTGATTTTCTAAAGGTTGACAGCACAGAAACTCAGCAGTATTGAGGACTGCCACAGTAAGTTTTTAATGTCATACTATAAGATAATTGTGCAGGGGGCTCCTCTTGGTGRCATATAACTTGTTCTGTAAGGACATCCTTCTGGAAATATACCCCTCAGTTTTAAAACGAATGTTTAAAAATCCTAGATGTTGCATGTGGTGTCCTTCAAATCCCCAGCAACTGGTGTCTGGGCTGATTCAGGGGGTTCTGGGCAAGCCAAGGAGTGTGGCTCTAAGGGAGGCAGCAGCCCCTCAGCAAGGTTTGCCCTTCACACTGGTGGCTCCCATAGAGCCATCCTGTATGTGTGCTGTGTGGGACTGCAAGTAACTAAGTTTGGAGGCTTTCCTGYCCAAGTAGCGTGGGGAACCTCTGCTAAATGTGGCTGTGACTTGTGCAAGCTTGCTGGGTCGATCATTAGCTAAAAAAAGCTTTTTATAAATATGTTTTATAAATATTAGAAGTTGAAAGGCTGGCAACACCCGTTGATTATTTCTCTTTGGAGAAATCCAGAACTAATTCTGGATTTCCTTTTGCTAAGTTGGATTTGRTTCAGTCATGGCCTTCTGTCCTAAGCAAGCAATTGAACCACTTTCAGGATTAGAAAGGGATGCAGGAGAGTTGGCCTGCACCCCTCTGCAGTAGGCTTCCCTTGTTAGTTTTTGGGGAAAATTCATGTAAGTGATTTGAATCACTCTCTGTAAAACAGCTACATTAGTGCTTTCCTGCAGTCCTGCAAGACTGTCCTTTTGATTCCTTATGTGCCATTAAGTAATTGCAAAACTGAGCAGGTGATGGAGAACCATCCTGACAATTTCTCTTATTCAATCTGTCTCCAGATGGTCTTGCAATGATAAAACATTTCATCTGTTTGTTTTTTGGTCAAACTGATTTGTAAGCCAGTTTACTGATGAAAGGCAGGCCCTATGCCTCTTTTCAGCTATCCTGTATTTACAATCACTTCCTGTGTGGGCTAGCTAGATACTTATGGAGATAAGACTAAAATAATTGTAGAAGGGTAAGGTAGTCATAAGTATGAGCATTGCGTGGGAGCTAAAATTGCTTTTGAAAAACAGCATTTTTACATATAAGCTTGTAAAAATTTTCCCCATGTGGCTGTCTCTGTCTCTAGATACCAATTAAGTGATGTGCCAATGACAGGTAGATTAGCAGTGACCCAGCACATTGTATGCAAGTAAAATGAAAAAACATCCCTCTGGAGTAAATGAATCTGTATAAAGAAGGTAAACTCCTACCAGATCTGATGAGGGAATAGATATTTTGCTGAGCCAAGYCCTATAGTCCTAACAGCTGAGAAAAAGATAAGATTGCTTTTGTTTGAATCTTAGTTGTCCTGTCCTTAAAATCTTTCTTCCCAATGCTTTTTTTGAAGATGCCTTGCATGTCCATAGAACATATGAAGGAAACAAATTTGAAGCATTTGGAGAACACTGTGCGTCTAGTCCAGCTAGAGGTGAACAATCAATTCTTGTCTGAGCACAGGAGCTCTGTTTTCTTACTGAGTGGCAAAGAAAAGTCCATTTTGGCCTCTAATTCAAGGTACAGAAGTTGCATAGTAGACCTTCATTAGATGTTTTTATTATTTATGTCACCAGTTTAAGAGTTCCAGTGTTTACATTCCTAGAGCTAGCCTTAATCTCAGCCAGGTAACTGAGCAGAGCACTCAGCACAATGGCCCTGGTAAGCAAGGTTGCCGCACAGGTGGGCTTAGTCTGCTCCTTTACGTATTTGTCRTGTTTCTAGTTGCCTTGTCGGACTAGAGTGCAGCCCTCTGCAGTTTGTCAAGCTTGCCTGAATGACACCTCCCCTACTTATTGTCATCATATCTGTAGCAACAGAACATATCTGTAGTTGCTTATATGGAAGAATGATGTCTGGAAAGTAATTATGCATTCCTTGCTGCTTCTAGTGTTGAAGTTGAGATTTTTTTTTTTTTTTTTTCTGTCTCCTTTTGGAAAACTAGTCACTCATTTGTGTTTTCTCTTTATTTTATGTTCCTCTGCCATCTGTTTAATCTAGGTAAGGCAGGGGGGAAAGGCGAGCCAGCTTCTCAGCCTGCACCCTGCAACGAGGGAGGAGGAGCAGYGGCAAGAATGCTGTGGTCTGTGGTATGGCAGGCTGGCTTGCATTGAGCAGAGCACATGCCTCCTGAATGCAGCTTCACTGGGTGGATGGCTGGTCAGTGAAGCTGTTCTGGGTTTGATCACTTGGACTAGAGAAAGAGAAGAATTCCAAGCTATGTACATAGCACTGCCAAAAGGAGTTGTGGCTGTGGTTTATTTTTATAGCTAATTAATTCAGGGCATTCTTTTCCCTCTYCTCTTTGAGGTGATTGTGAATCTGCAGTTCAGGCCACTCAGGCCAGTGGTCTGCATAGTTTGGGGAGAAAGAGCAAATTCTGGAGAGCCAGCCCTGAACAACGTCGCTGTTTTGTGCCATCTTTTCTACTGATCATGTTCTGAGCTGTGTGAAGAAATATCTGAGAAACAGAGYAGATTCAGGATGTCCTATCTCCTTGTGTGAGCATTCATGATGGCAGGCATTTTATGAAGGTGGCCAAAAGAAGTATGATTATGTGGTCATGACCTTCTCCTTTGAGGTGTGTGTCCCTTTTGATGAGCAGTTGAGATGTACATGTGAACCCTCCATGTGAGGCTSTAAGTGAGCCATGTGCTACTTAGCGTCACTCCCAGGCCACTCATCTTTTATTTTTTTTTTATTTATTTAAGGACCCGAAAGGATCCATTCAACCCAAATTTTTCTGTCTTGACTTTTAAAAATTCTTTATTTTCAGTTCTGCCGAAGAAAAAGCAACTTTTTTTGTTTTGGTTTGTTTCAAGTTATTTTTTTCCTGGTTAATCAGAGGAGTGATTATTCACCCATCTATCCGTACCATATGTAATATGCACAATCAGCCTCATACTGTGCAAGAACAGCTTTCTTTCATTATTTTTGACCAGTTTTGTACAGAAAAATAAAAATGCAGAACAGTTTTGCTTATGTTTCAGAGCGGTACCTCCCAGGTAAGGACTTTAAACCTGTAGGTATTGCAAAGCAGTGTTTGGAACAAAGAGGTTGAGAGACATTTTTCTTTCCTTTGAACTGTAATAAAATGCATTTTTATTTCTCTCACTTCCCACTCATCCTTATACTTCAGAACCCAATGTTTTTGTTAGCCCTCTGAAAACATGAGCATGCCAAGTGCTAAGTCACAGACCTTTATCACTGATACACCCACCTCTGACACATTCCTACAAGAAGGGGTACAGCCTGAGAAGTTTACTAGAGGGAAACCTAAGCAGTCTCATGGGGAAAAAATATATATAATGGAATATCTCTTGTGTTACCTGACTTCTAAGACAATGTATGCACCTTTTGTTCTAGTTTTGGGGAGTCTGCAGTGATTCATCTAGTTTTATTTGATGCACTGAGCTAGCAAGATTTTCTGACAGCTTACAATGTTGCTTCCACCTTTTCCTTTTTATTTATTTATTTATTTATTTATTTATTTTTGCTATTTTGTTTTATATAGATGGTTAAAGCTTTCATTCAGCTTGAAGAAATTGCCCTACTTACTTCTTGTTATGAAACAAACTATCTTCAAATATATGGCTGAAAAAGGCATCTATTTCAGTCTACCAAACAAGAAAATATCATTTTCAGGCTATCACCCAGGCCAACAGTAGATTCAGTAGTGATTTTTTTTCCCCRTGTTTGCTCACCAGGAAAGCAGCTCTGAGAGAAAATTGGTCTTGGAAGTCTCTGGAGTGGACGCTGCCAAGCCAGGAGTGGACGCTGCCAAGCCAGTAATCTCTGCAGCAGGGGATCTGCATGAAACAAGAGCAGTAAAGGTCACTTACCATTAGAGAGATGTCAAAATTCACAGAATCTACAGTCTCATCCCTGCCCTTTGCCAGTACATGTTATTCTAATATAGGAAGACTGTATGGCACTTTTTACAAAGAATTTCTTGCTACATAGTTAACAGCGTCTTGCCTTGTACATTTCTTTTTCAATGATGTGCCTTGGATTTATTTTTATTTTTATTTTTATTTTTATTTTTATTTTTATTTTTATTTTTATTTTTATTTTTATTTTTATTTTTATTTTTATTTTTATTTCTTGAGGCAGCCTATCTAAAATCAAAAGTGTAGACAGGATTGCTGAGGAGATAAAGGAGGCAGTCACAGTACACCAAAAGTGAAACTTGAGGGGAGGAAGACCTAAAGGAAGGGGAATGGATAGGGAGGAGGGGTGTTGAACTACTTCCCTCATAGTAATTGCTTTTGTATATGTTGCAAACAGCTGTTGAATCTGATTAAACATATGCAAATGCACTAATTTATTTGAAGAATGAGGCTACCAAATAGCATGTCTGTGTGGTGCAGCAGAAGTCTACAATTGGGGTGTTGGAGTTATCTCTGAGCAAGCTGGCATGTTTGTGTAACACAGGGCAAAGATGCTGAGATGATAAAGGGAGCAGATGAGGGGAAAAAGTGTCCAGCTGGCAGGTGGTTTGCTTGGAGTCAGGACAGGGATCTCTGCACCAAGCTTTGTCAGGGGATGGCTGCCCCTGTGATCAGCTGGCATCACCACTCATGGTATAATTCCTGGAGTCCTTTTGCCTTGGACATATTTTTAGGGATACAACACTTTCAAGTAAGCCAGTAGCAGGATAGTGCTAATGTGTCCATGCACTAAATACAGAAACAAGATTTATCTTCTGTAGGAACCTTCCTGAGTCTGTCATATTTCCTGTTGTAGACACTTTGATTACTAAGTAAGGTCCTAAGATCTCTTAAACGTTGTGAACTCATTTTCATTTCTGATAGGAAAATAACAGACTGCCACACACAGTTCTTTCCTTTGCATAAATCTAATGTAGTTGTGACACTTGACATACAGCACAAAAGACTCTGAATGATTTCTTAAAACTTAAGCTGATGATTCAGAAATAATTGTGAAAAACAATTTCGTTGTTGTCTCAGAGATTCAGAACAGACAGCAATTTTCTAAGATTAGCCAACTTCTAGTGACCTATAAAACTTCACTTTGATAAAGCTTCTTAGACTTTTAAAATAAAAATCCTAAGAAACCATTTCAAACAAAATTTCAAAGGTTTTATGCTGTTGCTTTTTTTTTGTCAAAGATCTATTGATGTATGTTTTAAAGCATAACTTTGTAATTATGAAAACCTTCAAAAATGCAGAGAAATTGAGAAATTACCTTTTGCTAGGGATGCATGTAGACAGCAGTTCAGCTCTGTTTTTTAAGTGAGAAAAAGAGTATGTAACATCAAAGAGGGGACAGAAAATCTTTCAGAATTAGATTACAATACTAGCAAAAGTAAGTGATAATCTTAGTAGCTGAGTTTTCTCCTTAAATCATATTTTAAGAAAATGAAGCTTGTACTTTTATTTGTTGTGAAAAGAAGATTTCTTTGAAATGCTGGTGTATTCTTGAAGCATATTTCAAAACATTTCACAAGACTGTTTAATAAAAGGTGTTCTATATCACCTGCTTGTAAAAAAAAGAAAAGTGGATCGGGTGACATGTAGTATTTGCTTGGTGGTGAAGAAAAATATTAAATTGATWGTCTCTAATTGCCAAAATTCATAGACAGCGCATGTGTACTGAGCTATGTCAAAAGAGTTCAGAACCTTCCAGTGTCTGTTCCCTGTAGTTTGTGGGAGAAATAAGGATATTTTGTTATTTTAAGGAAATCCCCTGCTTATTTWTCACGTGGGTGCTAATGATGCCATGGGGAAACTTGCCAAAATAAAGCAAGATTACAGAGCCCTAGGGGTGGCTGTAAAAGAGGTGGGAGCCCAGGTAGTGCTCTCCTCYRTCCTTCCAATGAGGGGGATGGATTCAAGTAGGAGAAAACAGATAGGTGAAATCAACAACTGGCTGCGCCGCTGGTATTGGCAACAGGGTTTTGGCTTCTATGACCATAGGACTCTGTTTGACGACCACCAGCTAGTGGAGCATGGTGGAAACCACCTCACCAAGAAGGGCAGGCGGGTATTTGCCAAAAGGATGGCCAATCTCATTAGGAGAGCTTTAAACTAAGCAGGAAAGGGGACGGGGAGTGTCATATGGACTGGGGAATCAATCCTGTAAAACCTAAGCCAATGGATATCCAACAGGCCTA